AATATATTTTGATGTATTTTAATAATGTATTTTTGAGGAGGAGGCATATCAGGCCTATGGAGGAAAAAATGGAAGATGAGAAACGAATGTGACGGAGTTTGGGTGAGAATCAGAGAATGTTGGGAGGTGAGTGAGAAGGGATAAAAAGATAGATTTTATGGTTAAAATAAATAATTAGGATTAAAAAGTAAAAAGGTTATTTTTGTAATTATAAAAGGTTAGTTTTGTAATTCAAAAAATATGTAATAGAATTGGGGAGGTGGAGGGAGAAAATGTGGTGGTGGAAGAAGTAACACCCCAACATCAAAATACACAAAAGAGCAAACCAACCAACTAAACTTGGGTACTTTCATAATTTCAATTTGCACTGACATAAATTTTTATATTTTTGAATGTATAAGTCTGAATATAATTTTTTTAATTTTAAATTATATATTTTAAAATATAAAATATAAAATATGAATATATATACTTGTCTAGAATATAATTTTTATATTAAAAATTGTATTTTTCACAATATAAAAAGTTACATTTCAGATTTATATTTTTAAATATAAAAAAATTAATTTGGAATATAAAAGTTATATTTTAGATTTTAGATTTATTGAATTGCGAAAAAGAAAATATAGTAATGCGACCGCCCCTGGTGTTTTGTTTGGTGACCGATTGGATTTTACCTATTGATTTGAAGTGATTTAGGATATAAAATTGAACTAAAAAAATTCATTAATCTTTAAAGGATAATAATACTTTAATAATTTTTTTTTATAATATTTTAATATTATCTACATGTCATTTTAAGATTGGTCTAAAATTACTCCACAATCAATAATAATAATCATAAATACTAACATAGACCAATTACATGACACGTAGATAGTGTAAAAAAAAATGTTTTCAAAGTATCATTATCCATCTTAAAATGTGAATTTTCCTTCTTCCTTTTCTTCTCTCTATTTTATTATAAGTATATACCTTTGAAAATAAAACGGTGAAGAGTAAATAAAATAGGTAAAATCAACTCAACTGATTCAATCTTAGATATACTAAAATAAGAAAGAAAAAAAAAGAATTGGAAAAGGAAAAAGTTGAAACCAGCGACAACATTGGAAGTAAGTATAGGCCAAATTATTATTTGCTAAAATAATCTATAAAAACAAATAAGTTGTTTTTCTATACACCTTCACCCATTTTTTCCTACTCATCCACATTTTTTTTTTAATTTTAAAATTATCTTTTTTAATTCAAAAAACTTTACATCCCAATTTTTGTACACTAACAAATTTCAAAATTTGTTAAACTTTTTTTTCTTCAACGAATTTTAAAATCCATTAAAAGATTTTTCAAACCTTCAACTAGATTTTGAAATTTGTTGAAGTCTTTGAAATATCTTTTAACGGATTTTGAAATTCGTTAAAGAATGACAAATTTCAAAATTTGTTGAAAAAAAATGTAATCTCAAAATTATTTTTGGAATGTGAAGACACATAAAGAAATGACTGAAAATACATATATAAACAACCAAACATATAATATAATTTAAAGTCGTGATTTTGATATATTATGAATCTGTTCTGTGTTGAAAAGTTTTAGTGATTAAGAAAGTATAAGTTATATTATTGTACTTATTATTTATACTTTCTTGTATATATAAATATTTTGGATGGAACATTGTATTTGTTTACTAATATATTTTTTTATTGTTAATTAAAAAATTTAGAAACAAGGTTCAAATTATATTATAATATATATTAGGCTACATCAATGAATACACATAAAATAAATATAAAGAGTTAGACTAATAAAAGACAACAAAGTGAAAAAAAAAATCATAAACAACATGTTTAGCTGGGAAATGAAAGAAAATGTAGAAAACCATAAATAATAAAAGACAAACTTTGAAAAATAAATGTTGAAAATATGATGTAATGAAAGACAAAAACTTCAAAAAACAAAATGTAAGAAACAAGTTGTTGGAAATTTCAAATCAACCGAAGAGAAGGTCAATTTAGAGTATATAAATGAATGCAAATATTATTTTATAAATTGGTTTTATGATGTTGAGTTAGACTTAAAATTCAATTCTTATAACATGATATCAGAGTCATGAGTTAAAGCTTATAATAACAAGATTTCTTATCGTTATCAGAATATTTGTTATTTGTTAGATAAACTATTTCACTCAGTTATTTTATTTTCTATATATAAAGAGTTAAAAAAAATATTACATCGTATTTTCTTTCTCTACATGTTTTTTTATAGTTTATAATGCATTGATAAATATATCTTTAAGCAAGTTTAGTAAAAAATTAACACTTAATTTAATTTAAAATATAATGACTCATAATATATTATTAGTATTTAGAGTAACTCCTTTCATAATATTACATAAATGTTGGTTGGAACTTTCATAAGGTTTTACTTCCTATCTTGTTTCAAACATATTCTTCTTTGAATTAAAACTAATGTTACTTAAGTAACCATCATAATGCTTAAGCGATAGCACCAAAAAAAAATATATCACTTACCTTTTAAACATATCAAATAGCAATTTATAACGATTCGATCATTCATTAAAAATTGTAGAAAACCAACAAAAAAAAATAACATCAACCAAAATTATTACCCACGTTAACATATTTAAAATATCAAAACACAATTAATATAAATCCAAATTCGACAACTTTAAACCCCTACATCAATTCCCACATATTCAAATTTTCCTTAACTCCACCTATCTCCAATTCAAGGGAATGTTAGACTCAATTCTAAATAGCATTATGTTAATTTCAGACATATAATTGGAAAACAAATGTACTTTAGTTAATTTTCATTACCCAATAGTTGTTTGCTTTCGAAACAGCAATGACTCTAATTATAAGTTATACCAACTGAAAAAAAATGTGATGATAAAAAACTATCAATAAGAGCATTTAACTAAAGTCATAAGACCCTATAATATTCCAAGATAAAGTAACAAGAACAGAAGAAATGTTATAATATTATATTATTGCATAAGTTAAAAGCATTGTGATTTTGGATTTCAGAACGTTGTATTGCAACGTTAGAATTCTAATTGGAAAACGAAAATATTTTTATTAAACATGCCAACGTTCAAATATTCAATGTGAATTAATTCCAACGTTAAAAATATTTATGATTTTTAATTTCTTTTATTTAATTGATTCCTCCCTAGCTCTATAAATAGAGAGTTCTTTCCCTGTTCCAAAACACACCAGAAAATTCAGTCTTTCTCATTCTTCTCTTTTTTGAATTTCATTTTTAGCTCATTCTCTCTTCTAAAAATATTCTGGGTTATTCTTATACTCTGTTTAGAGTTCCTTACTAATTCTGAGATCCTCAAACATTCTGAGAAGTTCCTGTTGTATTCTAGGGGACTTGCGCAACACATCGCGGATAAGTCCTTAAAGACAGTGACTTTACACGCTTCAGGAAATACTATTTTTGTCAGCTTTTTCCAACAAGAAAAAGTAAGAAATGATCATAGGAAAGGAAAAAAATTACTTTAATTTCAATTTTAATGGAATAGGGCATGTTCAAGAATAGATTTAGAAAGTTAGAGAGATTACAAAGGGAATATATAGAAAATGGATTTAAAAAAATAGTTTAAAAAAAATTGAATTATTAGATAGTTAAAACTTTAATTTATATAAATTTCATCTAAAATTGTAACATTTATCTTTTTTAAAACCGTTTATAATAGATGAAAAACATGTTCTTATTACAATATTCAAACTGTTTGAACATCTATTTTAGTTTTAATTGATATTAATCTTATATTTTAAAAAAATAACAAAAACTGCTTTTGTAGTGTTTTGTGAACAGCAATTGTAATTTTCAACAACAATCCACGTACACATTACACTTTACTAATGACAAAGGAAATTGCATGTCCTTATATTTTGATTAGTTTTCAGTAATGAAAATTATTTAAACCAGAATTTGTTAACTGTTTTATGAGAAAAGTAATAATGTAATATTTGTCACAATAATCTTATTGAAGACCTATCGAATTGACATCACAAATTGAATACTGATTTGAGATACTGCGACGACTTCAACAACCATCACAAAAATTTCTTATAGTGAAAATTTTATCATGACGAAAGGTATAATGATTTTTCGATGCTTATGACGAATAAAAATTTCCTAATATATTTCCTAATAGTTTTACATTATTTAAAAATCAAAATAAAAAAGTTAAATATATTATTTTAATATAGAATAATTTTTAAAGATAAAATGGTAAAGATATTTCAAATCTAAAAGTAAATAATATCCTATTGTACTTAATATATATTGAATTAAAAATATGTAACTTTTTATTTTAACTTAGAACATTGATTTTTCAAAAAATCTAGATTCATGTTGAATATAATGAAAAACTGTTTACAAATTAATATTTTTGTATTGAACATACAAATTGAATACTTTATTTATAATGAAAAAAATATAAGTAACTCAAAATATAAATAAATAATAATAATAAATTAAATAAAAATAAAAAATAAAGATCAAATATATAAAATATTTAATATCTGTCTTATTTTTAATTTATACTCTTATAATATTATATATAAATTTATCTGTTGCTGATAAAAAAAAAGTGTAAGAAACCTACCAAGAACCACAACCTAACATTGCAGCTTTAAGTAAACCATCACAAGTTTCATGATATGTTTTTGTCAGGTACACTAAAATTAAAAGCTTTATAGCTAGTACTTTATTACAAATTTTCTAAATGTGTGTATAAAGTTTTTTATGATACGTATTATGACCTTTAAAAAATTGTATTAATTTATGAACAAATTAATTTAATTTACACCAAAACTTCTTTTTATATTTCTTTCCAAATAAATACTTGTTGAGAAAATTTATTCAAAGCAAATTTCCTTTTCTGTGTGCACTGATCACACCACAAAACCACACACAGTGAATTAGGTTAACAATAAAAGAAATTAAAATGGAAACGTAACACATCTCATGAATGATCTCTGCCAATATTAATTATACTGAAAATATATAATAAGCAAATGTCTCACTGTTTAATAGAACGTAGAACATGACTATGGCAAACTACTGAAAGTACTCACACTGCACAATCACAAGCAGAAACCATTAATGTTCATGGTATGCTTGACACTGAAACTAGTAGCTACAGTGCTGACTGCTACCCAGTTTGGTCACAGTCTCTTTGTTAATGAGAAACTCATACCTTGCATTTAAATAATAATAATAATAATAATAATAATAATAATACTTAAAATATAAAATAATATATAAATATATAGCATGGCCATGTGATGTCATGGCCCTAGACGGTAGTGACCATCTGCCATGTAATGACCATCCATGTAGAGAGTTGCACTTTGGGGATGCAGACCATCCATCACCATAAATTGCATGTCTTCAGATGGTTTCCAGTGCCTCTTTCTTTGGTTTATGAACCAGTTATTTATTTGCTTTTGGTCCAAACCAGTTGATTCAGCCAATGCCACCTTCTCTGATTCCTGTAGTAATTCATTTTTTCCAACAAAAAAACATCATTGTACAAAATCAATGTATTCTAATGCCATCACACAAAACAAATCATGTTATATATTACCTATTATTCGTTGTTAAAATTCATTCAAAACTGTAAAGAAGTAATTACAGGATATAGATTTATGATTATCTCTGTCAATATCTATGTAATAAGTTATCAGATTTTGTTAACTTTATTTTATACATTGAAATATCTAGGTTTCGTATCATATATAGATTAATGAGGTAATGGAGTTTTATTAACTATATTAACTCTCGGTTATGTATTATACAGATGGATTAACTGGGGCTATAATCATGTTTAGTAAGTCCGCAAATGATTTTGAGTACATTAATGAAGCATTTTTTTAAATTTGGTAAAATTTCACCCTGTTTTAATTGTTTAAAAAAATATCATGCCAACATTTCTTATACATTAATGTGTATTTTATAATGAATTTGTATTGTAGATGTTAAAAGAGAACTTTATATAATTTTTTGAAAAACCTAAAAGTAACGAGCAATTTATTATATTTTAGTAAATACTCGGTTCAATATAATACAGTATTTTGCTTTTATAGAAAAAGAAAAAGAAAACCTATACATTTTTTTAACACGTTTAATTATGTTTGAAATCAATTAATAGTTAATAGTTAGTACAAGTGAGCATTTGTTTCATCAATTGTCAAATTGTTTCTTAAGAAGAAAAATAACATTAATATGTTTAACGTTTATAATGATTAACGTTAACTTTTTTTAACAATCATTAGTGACAATTATTAAATATCAAACAGACGTGTTTAGTTGCTTCATGAAAGTTAAAAAAAAATTAAGGAAATTGAATTTTTTATACTAAAAATATATTAATACTTATGTTTAAGCAGTATTTACCCTAATAATTTTGTTCTTTTAACCATTTTTGAGAAAAAGAAAGTGAGATGTAATAACATACCGAAGGATATGGCCATTTGTAATGTAATTCCCACCAGTTAAGTAGCTTTTGCCTTGCATCTTTGGGGAGTTTCCCTTTCTTTTTCTTCTTGGAAAGTTCTTGCTTAAGGCTACTCAAGTAACCACTGTACTTCCTCAGTAAGTGGTTTTTAAGCTCACGATCTTCTGCTCGAGGATCAATCTCCGGAAGTTCTGTTTCTCCTCCACTGTTCTCTTGATCCTCATCTGATGAACCAACCCCTTCACATTTATCTTCTGCTTAACAATTTTAATACCAGCAAAAATCTTAGTCCTTATAATCTTGGAATATTCATGTATGCTTCAATATTGCTATAAATTATTGCTGATGAAAAAAAAAATGAGAAAATGCATAGAAAATAAGTGTTTCCTTGGAACTAGTAATTCAGTTCAGAGGGCTTCATCGCATCATAATCATAAAACCCTTTTGAACAAATTTAACGAGGAATTCAACCAGTTAAATAGGGTCTAAAACAGAAATTAATAGTTTTGGAAGGCTAATTCTTTTTGCGTGGGAAGACAGAGGGAGAGAGGGAGCCATTTTACTGTCTAAAAAATTGTCAAAAAACTGACATTTCTGTGGTATTTTGCTAGTTTTTATATGTATAAATACTACATATAATCATGCTGATTTGTCCATTTCATTTTCCTGTCTCATATATTTAAATCTAAGTTCATGGTTTTCTAACATTTTCTTATTAATCATTCAAATTATATCAAGTAAATATTGGACTGTAAATCCAATCCATTTCTTTAAATCCTTCTGCAGACTCACATACTGTATAATGAACTGTTTTATTATTGTACTCATTTTTTGTACTTCTGATGGTGCCTCTTGTATTTTTATATACATCCTTCTCTTTGCTGACTTTTTTTAAAAAATAAATAAATAAATCTTAAATAGAAAAATATATTTACTATCTTGAAAATATAATAAAAATATGAGTACTTCTGCATTCAGTTTGAAGATATACAAGAATACAGTGTGCATAGACAGACTTAAAAGCTATTTTTTAATGAATGACCTTGTCCTATCATTTCTCTTTGATTTGGTAGGTGACAGTAACCTGAACTGAAAGACTAATGAAAAATGAAAATCTTTTTCGTGTTTATGTATAAATTACCTCCAATCATAAAAGCAGTTCATTGAATACAACACACAGGTGCATATGAGAAATACCTTAAAGCTGCTATTTTAATTTAGGCACACATAATGGTAAATCATACTTTGTTTATTTAAAGAGATCATAAAGGTAAATTAAATAGAAGCAAGAAACATCTGGTTTTCTGCATTTGAGATTCATTCTAAGGTTGTTCATGGACTGGGTACCCTTATTCTCACTGTCAATAATATATAACTTTTGTCTTCTAAAAGAAAAATCACATGGTTGGCTGCAAAAACCTTCGCCATATTGTACATATATCAGATGTTAGGTCACCACCATGAAATTAACATGCAGCTTGTGATTCACATCAGAAAGAAATGATTTGATGATGAAATTTCAAGCAAAATAAGAACTAAACATCACCACAGGGTGTCTTTCTTTATCAGTGTCGAATATTTTACGTATCACAAAATATGAAGAAATATATTATGCAGAAGCATAAATATATAGGGTACTATGAGCAACAAAAACAAAAAAAAAAAAGCATTTTCAGTAGCTATATGTATTTAAGTAACAATCAAGGAACTTCCAGAAACTACGACGTTTCGTATTATTATTGTACATTATATGGAGGCACAGACACATATAGTTATATATAATTTTTAAACATCTGAAAAATGTATATTTCATTCGTACTGTGATGTGGGAGATTGGAATGTATCAGCATCCAATGTTGTCTTTCTGAGTTATTAATTGGACTCAAACACCAAAAGGAGAAAAGAGAAGAATAAAAGACGAGATTAAAACGGAATTTTCTGTAACAAGACCGAAATCTGAGCACAACAATGATGAGAGTGTGTGTGTGTTGACAGTGTGAGAATGTCATCCTACAAAAACTCCACGAATCCACGAAATGCATACACCAAAATAGGTTTTAGAAGACATAACAGACCATAAAAAATGAATTAACTAGGAAACCCTAGAAGAATCAAATTGTCAGAACTCAGAAACTTGGGAAATAGGAGCGAGAAGACGCGAACGTGTGAATTTGGGTCTCAAATGAAAAGAAGAAATAGAAAATTAACACTAATGAACAAAACTATAAAGTTCATCTGGAGTCGTGAAGAATGGACAACTCTGTAACAGAATATATAAAATATATAATATAAAATAAAACTTGTCAAATCTCTGAAAAGAAACCAAACAAAAAGATGTTGCTTATTTCTCTTTTATTATAATATTTGCATTCATTAATATTATATATAAAATATAGGGTACTGATTAGGTTAGGGTTCTGTGCTTGATGAAATATCATCTCCACTGTCTGGGACCCTTTTCTCCTACGATGTGTAAGTAGGTAAAAATTTTTGGTCAAACTTTCCTGGCTCACTACAGAACACACTCGAGTTTACGACTTCCAAGAACTGCAGAACCTGGTCCAAAATTTTGAGCCCCAGCACATAATACTCATATATAGTTGAATGTTTGCGTAATCCATAATTAGATAATTAATTAATTTTATGAATAATTAACATTTATGGTTTGTGAGGAGAAGAAAGGGATGATGGAGAAGAATAAAATAAATAAATAAATAAAATAAAAGAGAGAGAGAATTAGGGGAATAGGATCCTCCCTCTTCTTGTGCTCCATAAAGAGAATGAAAAAGTACCAGAGAAGATCCTGACGGGTCCATTGCATAGCATATTTAGCTGAGTTTCTATCCTTCGCATGAAATCCATGGCCTCTTGAATAGGCCTTGTTAATTCCTCTCTATACTTCACAAGCATGTCATAGTATGCTTCCTGCAGTTATAGTTATAAATCATCACCAACAACCATTCCAATTAAGTATAAGGGTAAACCCCAAAAATAGTAACGGAATAAAATAACTTAAAACCACACATTCAAGGCATTAAAAAATAGTATACAGTGATCACAATCATATCCCACCATAATTACGTTCGCATCAGTCAAAATTAATCAATAATTTTTTACAATATCAAGAAATCCTGATAAAGAAAAAAAAAACAATGATACTGTAGCAGCAATTTAAAACCTTTACACACCATGAATTGATCGAGTTCAGGGTCTTTCGAGGTATCCCTGGAACCACCTGAGGATCTTTGCCGTGCCTCAAACTCTTGCTTTGCCGCAACCATACGCGCCACCACTTCAGGTGGAGCTCCTATCTGAAAATAGGGAGAAAGATAGAGAGATAGAGGGTGAAAGATAAGAGTTATATACACATGATTATTTATGTGAAATGGGGGCATACTGATTACTGTAATTAATGTGGTAAATTAATGAATAATAATTGATTAATGAATAGGTGACCTTTTGGCAATCCATATAAGCTTCCAAAAGATTGGAGTACTGAGGGTGAGCAATGATTTTAGCTTTTATGGCTTCAACTTCGGTGGTGGAGCTTGTAGGACTCCCTCCTTGTTGATGGGGATGGTGATGCATAGTGGTGGTGGTGTTGTTGTGAAGGGTACCTCTCATTAAAGGGTAGTGGAAAATAGGAGCGTGAAGCTGAGAAGTGCTGGCTTCGGTTTTCACAGAAGGGTGTGGTGCCACTTGATCAGACTGAAAGCAATGATCTGATCCACCCGATTGAAGATGGAAGGTGTTGATTGGAAACTGATGATGCTGGTGGTGATGACTATGATGCTGATGCTGATGCTGGTGATGGTTATGGCTATGGCTATGGCTATGGCTATGGCTTCCACCACTGGGGGGAGAGTACAAGAAATTAGGCCTTGAACTTGGACTTGGAGCAGTGTTTTCACTCAAGTGATTGTTATTAGTGTATTCCTCCATTAATCTCTGAAATCAGGGAAACAGAAACACCTCCCAGTCAGCTAATTAACCAAGCTGAACAAGAGCTTCAACAGGAAGTGGTGCTCAATTTTGGGTGTGAGGAACAAGAAAACCCTAAGGGCTGCACAACCCTAAAATAGCAAAGGGATTGGTAATGAATGGTTGTAAGGTCTGAGGGCCACACATAGCTATCATCAGCACTTGTGTGATGTTTTTTTTTTTTTTGTTGGGGTCCAAGGAGGTAGGAAAAAGTTTAAGGTGGTGAAGTGAAGAAACTGTGACAAAGATGGTTGCACTTGCAAATTTGGGGTATGGACAGCGAGGAGAGGATAGAAACCAGCGAAACTCTCACATGATGTTTTGTACGGAGGGTGAGTGAGAGGAGAAGAGAAGAAAGAAAGAAAGGGAAAAAATAAAAAGAGAGAAAGAAAGAGTGGTAGAAACCGGTAATGGCTCCGTGTTGGGGGTTGTTGACAAGACTTTCTTTGGTTATGAGGAGAAAAAAGAAATATTTAAAAAATGGAAAAGGGATTGTAGCTTAGGAGATAAGCCTAAGGTGCATAGTTGAATTTTTGTTTGGTTTTTTTGGAGGGTTTTGGTTAAATGATTAGTGTGTGTTTGTTTACTTTGCTTTAGTAGTCCTCTCTGTACTCTGTCCCTTCATTTGTTTTCCTTTTTGTGTTACTCACAACTACCATTTATTGCAGACTTCAAACCAAACAGCTGTGTTTCTATATGCATGTGTTATCATTCTCATTAAACAAAATTATACTTCCACTTGAGTGCCGTTACATTCTCTTCTTTTATTCTTATATAAATTTCTAGGTTTTTGTTTGGTCGGTCTATCCTTAGTATAGCTAGTAACAGGTAAAAAAAAAAAGTACACAGCTGGTTTAAGTTAGGAGACTGAAGGAGAGATTTTTGTTCTCTAATTATTTATTTTACCCCCTTGTTGTTCATCGCACTACAATTGCTGTTAGTTTAAATAGTTTTTAAATATTGAAATTTAAAACAATTTTTCTACACATATTGAAGGTTTAAGTTTGTATCTTAACATTACCATTGAGTTGGTGATTTGGGTGCAACTATATTGGATCATTTAAGTTTCAATTTGAACAAAAATGTAGTTAAAAAAATATAATTAAAGATAGAGATGTCATAAAATGGATTTAAATTCTTCACAGGTTTAAGTCTGGTTGATTGATAGAAAAAAAAATCTACATAGTGAAGGCAAGACATATGACTATTATTAATCCATCAAGATTTGGTCGACATGTATTTAAGTTTGTATCTTAACATTAGATTTTGGATATATTACACTTAAGTTTTGATTTGGCTATAACTAGGTTACATAATTTTAATAGTCAAATTTCAACATAACTCTAGTAGAAAAAAATAGAAATATTATTAAAGATAAAAACGAGTTTAAACACGTTAATCAACCAAATTTACTACAGGTTTGAGTTAAGTTTAGTTGGAAAAGTTTTAATTTTTCTTTTTATAAAATTGGATTCAACTTACTTAATCATATGTTCAAATCGAGTTAAGATGACTTGACCTATAATCCGTAACAACAATGTTTTATTATTTTTTTTTATATTTTTTTGAAAGTTTTTTATTTAAATTATTTACTATTTTTAATTATGTAAATTGACAATATGAATTTTTTTTAAAGAATAGAGTGTTGTTCAAAAATATTTTTGTAGTTTAAATATTTTATTTACATTTTTGTCAAATTATATAAATAAACACTTTAATTTTTAATTATTATATTTATAATAATGTTTAATAAAATATGTAAATATTTTTATTGCACAATTATAATATACTTTTATTATATTGTAATAAATATATAAAATAAATTATTAAATCAATCTATATAACACATCAACTTATAATGAATTGAGCTGAATAATTTTTGATTCACAGTTAAGTTAACTTATTTTTAATTCATTCCTTATAAATCAACTTTTGTAAACTATATTGTCCCATTTTTGTCAACCTTACTAAAAATGTTAGAGAAACTTTTCAATAAAAGTTAATCATCGACAAATATTCATTAAAAGTAATTAGGCTTAATTACCTACTTAGTCCCCATGTTCGGAGGTAATTTGCTGTTTAGTACCCGGTTTTAAAAATGTAGGCATTTGATACCTATGTTTTGAAATTTGTATCAATTGAATCCTACCCACTTAACGCCGTTATAAATCTAACGTTTTTCTGACTGTGTATGTGATTTGTGAACGAGCGTTTGTGGACGAGCGACGAGGACGCTCGTCCAGCGAAGAGGACGCTCGTCCAGCGAGGCAGAAGAGGACGCTCGTCCAGCGAAGCGAACGCCCAGTCAGGCAGAAGAGGACGCTCGTCCAGCGAAGCGAACGCCCAGTCAGGCAGAAGAGGACGCTCGTCCAACGAAGCGAACGCNTTTGTTAATGAGAAACTCATACCTTGCATTTAAATAATAATAATAATAATAATAATACTTAAAATATAAAATAATATATAAATATATAGCATGGCCATGTGATGTCATGGCCCTAGACGGTAGTGACCATCTGCCATGTAATGACCATCCATGTAGAGAGTTGCACTTTGGGGATGCAGACCATCCATCACCATAAATTGCATGTCTTCAGATGGTTTCCAGTGCCTCTTTCTTTGGTTTATGAACCAGTTATTTATTTGCTTTTGGTCCAAACCAGTTGATTCAGCCAATGCCACCTTCTCTGATTCCTGTAGTAATTCATTTTTTCCAACAAAAAAACATCATTGTACAAAATCAATGTATTCTGATGCCATCACACAAAACAAATCATGTTATATATTACCTATTATTCGTTGTTAAAATTCATTCAAAACTGTAAAGAAGTAATTACAGGATATAGATTTATGATTATCTCTGTCAATATCTATGTAATAATTTATCAGATTTTGTTAACTTTATTTTATACATTGAAATATCTAGGTTTCGTATCATATATAGATTAATGAGGTAATGGAGTTTTATTAACTATATTAACTCTCGGTTATGTATTATACAGATGGATTAACTGGGGCTATAATCATGTTTAGTAAGTCCGCAAATGATTTTGAGTACATTAATGAAGCATTTTTTTAAATTTGGTAAAATTTCACCCTGTTTTAATTGTTTAAAAAAATATCATGCCAACATTTCTTATACATTAATGTGTATTTTATAATGAATTTGTATTGTAGATGTTAAAAGAGAACTTTATATAATTTTTTGAAAAACCTAAAAGTAACGAGCAATTTATTATATTTTAGTAAATACTCGGTTCAATATAATACAGTATTTTGCTTTTATAGAAAAAGAAAAAGAAAACCTATACATTTTTTTAACACGTTTAATTATGTTTGAAATCAATTAATAGTTAATAGTTAGTACAAGTGAGCATTTGTTTCATCAATTGTCAAATTGTTTCTTAAGAAGAAAAATAACATTAATATGTTTAACGTTTATAATGATTAACGTTAACTTTTTTTAACAATCATTAGTGACAATTATTAAATATCAAACAGACGTGTTTAGTTGCTTCATGAAAGTTAAAAAAAAATTAAGGAAATTGAATTTTTTATACTAAAAATATATTAATACTTATGTTTAAGCAGTATTTACCCTAATAATTTTGTTCTTTTAACCATTTTTGAGAAAAAGAAAGTGAGATGTAATAACATACCGAAGGATATGGCCATTTGTAATGTAATTCCCACCAGTTAAGTAGCTTTTGCCTTGCATCTTTGGGGAGTTTCCCTTTCTTTTTCTTCTTGGAAAGTTCTTGCTTAAGGCTACTCAAGTAACCACTGTACTTCCTCAGTAAGTGGTTTTTAAGCTCACGATCTTCTGCTCGAGGATCAATCTCCGGAAGTTCTGTTTCTCCTCCACTGTTCTCTTGATCCTCATCTGATGAACCAACCCCTTCACATTTATCTTCTGCTTAACAATTTTAATACCAGCAAAAATCTTAGTCCTTATAATCTTGGAATATTCATGTATGCTTCAATATTGCTATAAATTATTGCTGATGAAAAAAAAAATGAGAAAATGCATAGAAAATAAGTGTTTCCTTGGAACTAGTAATTCAGTTCAGAGGGCTTCATCGCATCATAATCATAAAACCCTTTTGAACAAATTTAACGAGGAATTCAACCAGTTAAATAGGGTCTAAAACAGAAATTAATAGTTTTGGAAGGCTAATTCTTTTTGCGTGGGAAGACAGAGGGAGAGAGGGAGCCATTTTACTGTCTAAAAAATTGTCAAAAAACTGACATTTCTGTGGTATTTTGCTAGTTTTTATATGTATAAATACTACATATAATCATGCTGATTTGTCCATTTCATTTTCCTGTCTCATATATTTAAATCTAAGTTCATGGTTTTCTAACATTTTCTTATTAATCATTCAAATTATATCAAGTAAATATTGGACTGTAAATCCAATCCATTTCTTTAAATCCTTCTGCAGACTCACATACTGTATAATGAACTGTTTTATTATTGTACTCATTTTTTGTACTTCTGATGGTGCCTCTTGTATTTTTATATACATCCTTCTCTTTGCTGACTTTTTTTAAAAAATAAATAAATAAATCTTAAATAGAAAAATATATTTACTATCTTGAAAATATAATAAAAATATGAGTACTTCTGCATTCAGTTTGAAGATATACAAGAATACAGTGTGCATAGACAGACTTAAAAGCTATTTTTTAATGAATGACCTTGTCCTATCATTTCTCTTTGATTTGGTAGGTGACAGTAACCTGAACTGAAAGACTAATGAAAAATGAAAATCTTTTTCGTGTTTATGTATAAATTACCTCCAATCATAAAAGCAGTTCATTGAATACAACACACAGGTGCATATGAGAAATACCTTAAAGCTGCTATTTTAATTTAGGCACACATAATGGTAAATCATACTTTGTTTATTTAAAGAGATCATAAAGGTAAATTAAATAGAAGCAAGAAACATCTGGTTTTCTGCATTTGAGATTCATTCTAAGGTTGTTCATGGACTGGGTACCCTTATTCTCACTGTCAATAATATATAACTTTTGTCTTCTAAAAGAAAAATCACATGGTTGGCTGCAAAAACCTTCGCCATATTGTACATATATCAGATGTTAGGTCACCACCATGAAATTAACATGCAGCTTGTGATTCACATCAGAAAGAAATGATTTGATGATGAAATTTCAAGCAAAATAAGAACTAAACATCACCACAGGGTGTCTTTCTTTATCAGTGTCGAATATTTTACGTATCACAAAATATGAAGAAATATATTATGCAGAAGCATAAATATATAGGGTACTATGAGCAACAAAAACAAAAAAAAAAAAGCATTTTCAGTAGCTATATGTATTTAAGTAACAATCAAGGAACTTCCAGAAACTACGACGTTTCGTATTATTATTGTACATTATATGGAGGCACAGACACATATAGTTATATATAATTT